AGGGGGCGGGATGAGGTTGGTCGGTAGGAGATGGGGGTGCGGCTTGAGGTGGGAGGAGTGGATAGGTGGGAGGAAGAGCAGGTTAGGGAGGCGGGGACGAGCTGGACTGGTTTTGGGATGCGGTAGGGGGAGGGGAGATTTTGAAGCTTGTGAAATCCACATTGATACCATTGGGCTGCAGAGTTCCCAAGCGGAATATGAGTTGCTGTTCCTGCAACCTTCGGGTGGCATCGTTGTGGCACTGCAGGAGGCCCAGGATGGACATGTCGTCTGAGGAATGGGAGGGGGAGTTGAAATGGTTCGCGACTGGGAGGTGCAGTTGTTTATTGCGAACCGAGCGTAGGTGTTCTGCAAAGCGGTCCCCGAGCCTCCGCTTGGTTTCCCCGATGTAGAGGAGGCCACACCGGGTACAGCGGATGCAGTATACCACATTGGCAGATGTGCAGGTGAACATCTGCTTGATGTGGAAAGTCTTCTTGGGGCCTGGATGGGGGTGAGACATGCTAGGTATCTGCTCGGTGATTCTGTGTTGTTGTGTATCTCGAAGGCCGCCTCAGAGGATGCTTACCCGAAGATTGGAGGCTGAATGTCCTTGATTGCTGATGTGTTCCCCGACTGGGAGGGAACATTCCTGTCTGGCAATTGTTGCACATTGTCCATTCATATGCTGTTTTGGTGTCTGCGTGGTCTTGCCAATATACCAAGCCTCGGGGCATCCTTGCCTGCAGCATATGAGGTAGACAACATTGGCTGAGTCACCTAAGTATCTGCCGTGCATGTGCTGGGTGGTGTTTCCACGTGTGATGGTAGTGTCCATGTCAATCATCTGGCATGTCTTGCAGAGGTTGCCATGGCAGGGTTGTGTGGAGTTGTGGTCAACGTAGTCCTGAAGACTGGGAACAAAGGTCTGTTTAAGGTTTGGAAGTTGTTTGGAGGTGAGAAGTGTAGGCAAAGGGATGATCTTGGCGAGATATTCGTCATCATTGATGACACGTTGAAGGCTGTGAAGAGCATGGTGTAGTTTCTCCAGTTGGGGAAGTACAGGATGATGAATGGTACTCTATTGCTGGACGATGATTGGTACTCTATTAGTCATGTCATCTGTACCGTAGACCACGTCACTGAACATATTTAAGAACGAGATGGATTTTAAAGGAATTGAGGGGTATGAGGAGAAAGTGGAAATATGGCATTGCATTGGAGGATCAGCCATGATTCTATTAAATGGCAGAACAGGCATGAAGGGCTGAATGGGCTACAAACCCTAACACTGTTTCTATGAGACATCAACTCATTAAATTAAAATATGCTTTTGGTTTTAAACAGACTTCTTACTGATGGCAATGGGTTACAAATCTATGATTTCATGAAGAAAATTCTCTGAGGTCTATGGAATTTTTAAATGTCTAAATTAATGGCCTGCTCAGACAGATGGGTGAAATGACGTATCTAAATCCTGGTCAGAACCTGGTACCATCCTCAGGTCAGATAGATTATAAAAACCTGTTGTTTTCCCTTGTGTTTGAAATAATGGAGTCACTAATCTACTTGATCTACATGAATTAGCTAAAAGGAAAGTGAGTGATGCGTATATTTCAAAGATAGAAAGCACTTGTAAAAGCAATTTCTTTGGAAAAAATACTGCGCAGGCTTTTAATGTGTACTAATTACCACAGCAAAAATGTTGGAGTCTTCAATGGATTTACGTGAATGAAAGATCAAAGATTGTGGCACTTGCATTTTAATCTGTTGACTAAAATGAAATGAATAGGGTGGTGATAATGGGGCCCATGAGAGTGACAACAACACAGGTGGTAGAGACTTTAATCCCTCCTTTATTGTTGAAGCCCTAGGCCAAGTCACAATTATATAATCAACCATTTTTATTTCAACTTCATGTTCACATATTGAGATTGTTTCTCGCCTTAGGTGAAAGACTTGAAATCACATGCAGTGATATGAAAGACCATTTAACCTTTGTTGGTACTTCAAAGTGTAACTTCTGAAATGTCACTTTGTTGGTTTAAAGTCCTCCTCCATACAGGGGCAGGAGTGAAGGGAGGTGTGAAGTAGTTCAAGTGCTTTGCAGTGTTCTGATGTGGGGAGCGGCTTATTAGGGGCATTTGGCATAGTGTTTTAATGACGTTCAATAAATCAGAGCTTTCTATGTGATAATTCAGTGTGTTACACTTACAAACAAACTATCTGTAGTTGCTTTGCTTCATCCAGGACCCCTGTAGAATGCAAACTCCTAAAACCCAGCAATTTGTGAAATGGTATATCTCAGTAATCAGGGCGTTTTGAGTCGAGGCACAACAACGAAGAATTGTTCAGTTGAGAGTTGCAGTTTTGAAAAAATAGCAAGCAAGCTGTGCAGACAACTCCCTTCTTTGGTAGCATGGTGTAAAAGGTCATAAACTTAACTGACAGTCCCCATCAGGTCAGTCAAAAACAATGTTGGAAACAAAGTTAGTAAGGGCCTGGGTCAAGCTGTGCTCTAAAGTCAGCATTGTCAAAAGCCTCAGTCACATTCATACCTACAGGCAACCTCTGCTGATCCTGAGTCATTAATCAAACTGCAGAGCCAGTCTGACCCTGGCTCCTTCCCTTTGAAGTGTGGTGTCCTTTCCAGCATGAGGAAATAATTTGCTGCCTGATTCAATGAGCCATCAGTGGAGCCTGCAGACCTAATGACATGTGAGAATATTAACCTCCTACCATGAAGAGCTGTGAATCTTGAGAGGCAGTCTATAATTCACCCAGTGCACCGGAGGCACTCTGTCTCACAGTCCCTGTGACAGAACTTTGTTTTTATTCCTGCTTCCTTCTCCTGCAACTTTGCCGTCAAGATTTTAAAATAGATCTAATCTCGCCCTTTTCTCACATCTCATTTCAACTGCCGTCTCTTGCTTCTGCAGTTTTATTAAGTTTATTAAAACCAGTTGAATCCTACTTTTTATGGCAGGGCTCTGTTCGCCCATTCATTATGGTCTCTTATCTTGGCAGGCAATCAGAACTGAAAGGCAGCTAGTCCATTATGCACATATGAAGCCCATCACTCCTTCAGCATTTGCCAATTCATCAAACATTTATCATTTGCCCTCTGAACAGCATGTCAATTTGCCTGTCACTCCCCAGTCTGTGCTGCTTTGTTTGAATCTAAACATTGCCTTTTCACACTGGTGTTGTAGACCTATCCTTATAACACATCGCCCCCTCCCTTCAAAGGAAAGTCTCCTTGGTGCTCAGCAGGGAGGGCAGTTGCCACTGCTTGTTGTATGCAGCATGTTTGTAAAATAATGAGGGTGAAGTGTGAGCCATAGGCAATGATTTTGGGATATTAGGTATGACAGGGAGCTTGATCATAATTATCTTAACGAGGATAGGGTTAATTACAGTGGAATCTTAAAGTTCTTTCCATTTGAATCAGGCTGAATGAAATGCATTTTGATGTTTTGTCATTTTGATGTGACTTTGTAAATTGCGATGTAAATCTCTTGGCTATGCAAGGGTTCCTTTGGGATTATGGTGTGATCCCTGCAGTGAGGTAAAAGAGATGGTACATGTGGGTGAGATAATGGGCAGCTTTAGTTCATTAGAGCTGTGCGAATAGATAAGAGAGTGGGCACATAACATTGGTCATCAATTTTACACAAAATAAGAAAAAACTACATGCCATCCTTACCTGGTCTGGCCTACATGTGATTTCAGACCCACAGCAGTGAGATTGACTCTTAACTGCCCTCTGGTCAATTAGGGTTGGGTAATAAATGCTGGTCAAGTCAGTAATGCCCCCATCCCGTGAATAAATAAATAAAAAGTCATTACGATTCATTTTGTTTCCAGTATATGGTAGATAAGTATGAAATATCGAGGAAGAGTGAAAGAAGACATTTAAATAAAATGTAGTTTCTGTAGTAAACTGTCAATGCCCATGGTTCGCTTTCTCTTCTCCCCACCCTACCTTCCTCAGCTTACGGTTGTGAATTTAGTTGATTACATCACAAAGTGCACATTGAGCTGATGACATGAAAACCACAATTAATGAGAAAGCCCTTGTGTGATGCAGCTCTTTTTAACTGAGCGACTAATAACATCACATGGCGAAATTATCAAAATCAGACAGGTGTTAAGGGGATTTGTACAGAATTTTCTCTGCCTGCTTCTGATACTAAACCAAGCTTCAGTGAGCCTGGTCATTTCAATGGGCAACTCCCTCTAGTGTTCCAGGGCCTTTGTCCCACTTCATGCTCTGTCATTTTGTTTCATTCGTCCCCTGAAGCATTTAGATGCGCTTTTCTCGATTTGCTAGCACCAAACCATTTGCAGATTCTTGTGGTAAGGATATTCTATTGACATAGCATTATTGGAAAACAATATGTTTTTATGATTATGTACACCAGAGCATGGGTTATTTGTTGCTGTGAGCCTATGAGTCCCCTACACAGGCTTTCCAGGTGTGTATGGGGAGGGGTTTTAGACACAAACCTCATGTAATTAATATCACATTTTATTTCCTGCACTGTTCAGATTGCACAGTGCTCACATTTGAGAGTGATGATAAAACTGGATTCATGAGCTGTACAAGGATGATATTTGGACTGAATGATGGATGACAACTTAAATTTGTGTCCAGGGGATGAAGGTGAACTGTGACAGTGTTATTTATCTTGGGAATGAAGGTTTGGGTCAGAGAAGGCTGGGTGCCTCAAGGCACAAGACGTTGACAAATTCATCCTGTAGGCCGCATATCTGAAGCCTTTTGTTTTAAATCCTGGCTACTCACTAAGTGACCCTCATCCTTCATCCTGCCAACGTGTGAAAAATGTGAGCCTGTGCCAGTGCTCCCTCTGAAACTCATTCTTGTCATTCACTCGCTTGTCAGGCTAAAACCAAAACTTTCCAGCTTGTGAAAGGGAAGGTTGAAATATTTATTTCTGTGGATAATGGCTTTCCTGATTTAGTAGCTTATAATTTTTCCTGTTCCCTCCTTGTTGCAGGTCATTGGAAGGACTGGAAGAATTCATCTGTCTGGAAGAGCTAATCCTGGACAACAATCTTCTCAGAAATGACCTGCAGTTGCCTAGGTTACCACACCTTCATACCCTCACAATCAACAAGAACCAAATATCCTCTGCACAATGACATAGTAAATTATGTAGCATTTAATTTAGAGGAAATGACTTGAAATTCTATTTGTGTGCATATTGTGTTCTCTTCATTGATGGACATGCCAGGAATTAATTAGTGGCATGTTAATTCACAAAGTCAAATCATCACCGTTTGGAATTATTTTGTAGGCATTAATGGGAAGAAAAAGACTTTCTTAAAGGAACGCAGGAGTTTGTCTTGGATGGAAGGGGGCCCTCTGCTGGAATAATTATTGAATGAGATAAAATCAGGCCCATGGAGAATACTAAATGGGGAAAGGGCAGGCAGTTGTCACTGCTGTCAGTAAATAGTGTTCATCGCATACTTTTAATTACATTGGGGTACGTGCTATGTGACATACCCATTGAACTATTGTAATATGAAGATTGAAAGGAGAAAATTTAAGTTATTTTACAAAATATTCGCTACTAAACTTTCGAATAGGCCAAGACCAACACTTTTTTTGGAGCGTTCTTCATTAAGGCATTAAAATACCCCCCAGAAAGGCTTTAAAATTATCAGAGCCCTGCAGAGTCAATGAAAGTTCAGCAACATTGATTTTCAACATTTACTGGAGACATAATTCTGACTGTGCAAAAGTATCAGGCCACCATTTATGTTCTTGTGGGGAAATAAGGCTGTTATTGTTTGCCACTGTAGACTCGTTTTACAATGGGCTGAATGTGTTTGTGATGGATGTAGTGTGAAGTAACTGTTTGTTTCCTTGTTGGAAAAGTTTCAGTTTCAACAATTGCTTACCATTTAGCCACACAACATCCATCATTTTGTCAATGTTTTAAATGTTTCACAGTGAACCTTTGAAAGAAAGTGAACTAAAAAGAGGCACATTCTTTCAATATATGCCAAAATTCTGACATGTGTTAGCCGTGAATTGCCCCTTAAACAATAACTTTGACATGTCTTGAGTGCTGCAGTAAATTTGACTGTCAGCTCCTGATGTATATAATTTTTTTACTGCTTCCCTATAAATGCTTTTTCATTAGTGTGATTGAATCCTTAACGATGACCTTTGACACATAACCGAATTAGACAGCCTTTTGGATCATTTAGCTGAAGTGGTGCCTTGGCTTAAGTACCTCAGCCTCCTAGGAAATGAAGCCTGTCCCAATGAACTTGTTAGTTTGGACAACGATGAAAGTGACTATCAAAGATACAGGTTAGTTGTACTTGTTGCTAAGAGATAAGTGGAGTTACCTGACAAATGTCTTTCAGTTATCTGCTTGAGAAATGCATAAAAACATCAATGCTGTTCCTTATTGTTTGATGTTTCTGAATTTTCAGCCACATTTATTCATAATATACGAGCTATTAATCATTTAAACGATAGGCGTAACTTGAAGAAATTATTCAGTGGCAAATATGCGGGGTTCATTTTAGTGCTGTCAAAAAGACATATACAACTGACAACCTTTATAGTATGAGATATAATATTTATAGCATGTCACACAGCCATAGATCAGAGCAGAAGCACATCTAAAATACTGCAGTTAATAATAAACTTTATGCTGTGTTCTTGAGTGAAGAAATTTTGTTTTAGAAAGCAGTATAAACTTTTTGTAAATGTTACAGTACGGTGTTTATATGTGTCTTAATAAGAAAAGGAAAACTTTCCTTTCTAAAACATTACATTTTATGTTGAAAATACAAGGCATGTAGCCATCATGACATTAGGTTATTTAGTCAAAACAGCACTGCAGGCCCTTTCTGTGCATATATTGTTTGTATTTTGCAGTAGCGATAAAATACATTGACATCACAAATGGCAACATGTGTAGTTTTGCAGCAATGTAATTCACTACATATCAGAACAGGCACAAAATTTAATTCCATGATATTTCCTGAGGATGGTAATTTGCATGTGCATGTTATACCAAACTTGGGGGAAATAACTGGGAAATTTGCAGATCCTGAACTACCTTTAATTTTTTTTTCCTCTATTTTCCTACCCATTTAATATATTCAGTATTGATTCTACTTTGTCTCATTATCAAGCTGCCATCGTATTTCCACTTAATTGCTGCTCCCTTTCCAGCACTCCTTTTTCATCAATGTGATTAAAGTTCTTCAAAACGTGCTTCCATAATTATTTTTAGTATAAACCTTAGATAAGTTGTGTCTTTCATTAAGAAACTTGCATCTACTCGATCAGCAAAATTTAACTCCTTAATGATGTCAGCTCGTTAAAATTAGGAGATTACAAACCACACAAACTATATAGCACATTTCTACTTTTCTGTGTGCCAACATTTCGGAGCTCAACTCAGGCATTGGCAGCAAAATAAAATTGTGCTGAGTATCCCTACTGTAATAGGAAAGGACATAGGCCAGGATTCCTCATTTTGATCTCTATTTAAAATTTGTGCCAGTCCCTATGGAGGCCGGCAGGTGTGGGCCCAGCTGCAATGTGGCCTTTGGGCAAATAGTCTGCAAATACTGCCTTGACTCACACATGAGCAATGGCCACTTAGGCAAGTCCTGAAGGATGCATAGTACGCATGGGTTGAGGGTCAGTGGTGGGGCAGTTGAGAAAACCAGTAAAAAGTTAATGGAAGGGGAATGTCAAAAAAAAAGCGGAGATGGCAAATAGGACTCAGAAATATATTCAAATGTGTAGCCTTGACTCCAGCATGCATGAAGCTGGATATTTTTAAAAATATTTATTCTTAAAGGATTTGACAAATTAATAGGCCATTGGATGTGATGGACACTAACTTTCACAAAGGGTTGACAAGTTATATACAGGATGAGAAAATTGAAGAAAATGAAGTAAATTAGATTTCAAAACGGCTTTAATGAAAAAAAGGTGAGAGAGAAGTGAAGGACAGTTTCAGAAAGTGATTGAAAATGGCCAACTGTTTTTAGGACTATTTCTGTTAATTTTATAAAGGCAAAAAGGTGTGTATGTTGCATATCTGAAACAAATGCAGAGAATGCTGGAGGAACTCTGGTTTGGCAGCATCAGTGGCAAGTCTATTAATTGTATATGTCAGTTGTTTGAGTGTAAGTCTGTTAAGCAACTAGTGCCCGCATATGGGATATGGGCCAAGAGCAGGCTGTTGGGACTAGTTCAGTTTGGGCTTATGTTCGGCTTGCTTTGGTTGGACTGAAGGATTCTTTCTCCAAGCTGTATGACTCTACGACTATAAAATGATCTAGGAAGCATCGCTAAAGGAGACTACAACGAAGCGATAAATGGATTTCAGTGTTAGTAATTGCGAAGTAGTACATTTTCATTGAAAAGAAATGAGAGCAGTAATTATATTTGATTGAGGATGAAATTGTGGAGTAGATGGATTTTGGGAATTTATTGTTACAAGATATCAAACCAAGTAGATAAAGTAATTAAACTACAGATTTTTTTTTAAAAATTGTTTTAAATACCCTTCTGTTTCTGTGTTGGGTTACAAATGAGGAGCATTTATATGGAAGATTTGTTGGCCCACAAACTAAATGTTCCAGATGGCTGTACTCTTTTCATACTCATCAGCACCATCATAAAATGTTGTAAATGATTTTTTTCCTACTATTTAGTTAAAGAAAAAAATGTTCTTAAATATGGTGGAAAATTATTCACCAAATTTATAGATACTGCTGAGTAATGGAAACAATATGAAAAACAGATTATCAGTTAGATATAAACGATGTAACTGAACACAGACTCTTTTCAGCAGTGCCAAAGTGAGGCTTAGTGTATATGTCCATTTGATATCAGTTATGGGAGTATTTGTGTCGACTATAATTGATCCCTAAATACATAAATCAGTTGTGTTGGATTTTATTTGATGCAAAAATATCTAGTAAATTGGTATTATTTAATTTTAAAGGCTTAAAATGTACAAGGCATTGATTGTACGACCTACAATTATGCTGCAGTGTACTACAGGTCATAGAGTTTTAGAGATGTACTGCATAGAAACAGATCCTTCAGTCCGACTCACCCATGTTGACCTGGTATCCTAAATTGATCTAGTCCCATTTGTCAACATTTGGCCCCTATCCTCTAAATCCTTCCTATGCATATACCCATTCAGATGCCTTTTAAATATTGTAATTTTACCAGCCTCCCCCACTTCCTCTGGCAGGTGACATAAACCTTAATAAACCATGATTTCTTTTAATTGTGCAATGTTTGAATCACTTCTAAATGGTCTTCATTTGGCCAACAATTTTCAATACAATAAGTTTCTCTGTTTTTTAAGCATAAAACACCTTTTTCACAGACGTGTATCTTGGTTATGTACACATTTAGGTTTGCAGCTATTGGAAACAACATTGACTGAAATTGTGGGTGTGGAAATTTAGAGGAACTGCAAAGGAAACCTTCTGCACTTGGACAACTGGGAAGATAGGAAGGGAAATGATAGAGAAACATTCAATTTTTTTGTGAGATGTTTTTCTCTTCCTTCAGAAGATTTGGACATTGCTGAGATAGCCAGCGTTTACTGCCCATCTCTCATTGCTATTGAAAATACAGTGATGAACTACCTTCTTGAATACATTTTTGGGTTAGCCAGGCCAGTTAAAAGGATAAGAAGAGCTGAATGTGTTGTGATACACTGGACGTGCATGTAGGTCAGGAAGGGAAAGGATAGCATATTTCCTTCCCTGGAGTTCATTAGTGGACAAGTTGCATTTTACCACTGTCAGATCGTTTCAAGTCATCATTACTGAAAGTAGGTTTCTATTTTGTACTTTATTTAATTAATTCAACTTAAATTTCCCAGCTGCCATAATATATGTTATGTAATTTAACTTCATATGCAGTCACTCCTGATCAAGGCTGACTTGCTTCTACTCTGGTTCAATAGTTCTGAGATGGTTGATAAGTCTATCTGTGATTTACAGTCGCTGCCACATTTGGGCCAGGTGGCACTTAGAGGAATAGGTAAATGGGTTTTTGGAAATTTGTGATTGCCCTCCAACACATCAATTTCACCTCTGTGCTTCCTGATGACACCTCTCAATGTGGAGAGGAAGGATACTGAACTTTCTTAATCACTGTCTCTGAATACGATCATTGAGATAGATTAAGACCATAGCCATAGGAGCAGGATTAGGCCACTCCGCCCATCAAGTCAGCACCACTATTTGATCATATTTCTCAACCTATTCCCCTGCCTTCTGCCTATAACCCTTAAACCCCTTACTAATCAAGAACCTGTCTATCTTATCATTCCAAAACTGAGCATAGATAAGATGGCATACATCAATAGCCAAATTATGTAGCAGCCCAAACTAATCTCATTGTCTGGCACATTTATCAATCCTTGATCACTTTCAATTCAGGGAACCAATTCTGAATTGAAGTAGATTATACAGATTGGTATGTGAGGAACAGCATTAGGAATACTTTTGAATGAAGTATCAACTAAGTGAAATAACTAACATGGGGCTATATGCACATTAAGCACTAAACGCTCCAGGCTTAAGCAAAAACTTCACGGTCCTACAGCCAATCAATTAGACCAAAGCTCATTAGCCATGTTCCATCCAGCTGAGACTGTTGATTAATAATTGAGCAACTATCAGGAGGAAAATACCACTCACACCTCCACCCTGACAAACCATACCATATGAATAACAGGAGACTAGACTAAACTGCTTGTGAGAGTCTTGTGTCAGAAGTGCCAATCAAATTCTGCTATTTGGCCTCATCCTAAGGTCTACAAACTCTTAGATACTGGCCTGCAATTAGTTTACTTCATTTCATATTAACCAGGAGCTGAATTCACTGATACTGAGGGCTTTGATGATATACCAGCTAGCGATGATGACATTTGCCAGACTTATTTGCTCCTCTGCTTAACTTATTTCATTAGAGTTGTGACATATTTACTCAACAATGTTGAAAATTGTCTGGAAATCTTCTATTCACAAAACATGGTCTAACTCTAACCAAGCTAATTGTCACTTTGTCAGTCCACTTCCACGCATGGAAAAAGTCATCAATAATGCAGTCCAATAACTTTTCCTTCTCGAGGGCAACTTGGAATAGGCAATAAGCATTGGCACAGTCAGTGTTGCTCACGTTCTATGAATGAGTTTTAAACAAAAAGCAGTTCAGCTGCACAATACCAATAATATATGATCCATAAACACTAGAAACAGATCTACACCACCCTACCATTCAAACCTGTTCTGCCATCCAACAAGATC